TTCATTGGCCAAAGAAAATTACCTGCTTATGTCTAACTTCAAGGGGCAGGAAAGTACAGTCCCATCATATCCCTGAAAGAAGAACTAAAATATTTAGAACAGCTCTAATAGCTACATGCCTTTTGGTCACCAAATGTTTGATTTGCTCTATTTCTGAGATGCTAAAAAGAAAGCCCCAAAGTCCTATGCAAGCATAGCATGAAGTTCATAATCTGTGACATCTGGGTGAGGTATGGTAGGTTCTAATCATGATCTGCTTCTCCAGATCCTACCGTGAAATTAAAAAAACAGATTTTCTGCCTTCTCTCACCTGGTACATAATGGCTGATACAGGAACAAGATAATTGTAATATTCTCCTTGGGGAAAATGGAGAACACACAGCAAATACATGTCTATAGAATTCGGAAATCTTGTTGGGAACAACTTTTGAGGGGCCCCCTACCTGTGTTTGAGGAATGTTACCTGATTAATTCTGATTTTGAGAAGTTCCTTTTTCTCATTGGTCTCTATACCCCCTGGATCTGCCTTCTGAAAGTTTTGTCCTTTTTCATTTTCCTCGTTGGCTGAATCTAAAGGGAACATTAGGAAATATGCCTTCTTTCAGGACTGAGCAAATTTCTCGTATATAACCAGTTTGGACTAAGCTTTTCCTCAGGGTGCTAAAATACTCTGCATTGTAGTACCCCCAACTCCCACTGTACACGTATAACCAACCAGTTAGGTTCCATACATGTCCTCTTGCAATTAATTGGTTCATATGTCCCCTGCAAGAGACTTTGATGTGAGCACAGTGTAGTGATAAGTGCACTAGAAAATTTCTTGGATATGTGATCTTAAGCAGGTTACTTGACTTCTCTGAATTTTCTCACCTATGAAATTCTGTTTTTAGATTAACAGGATTAAAGGACCAATAAACAAAACCTTTATGTACCATATAAATGTTGGCTAAGTGCTTTTGTATTTATTCTTTCCTTTAATCCATACAAAGTCTTAGAAAGTTATTAGCATTCATTTTTATATGAGGAAACTGGAACTCAAAAAGACTAGATGACTTGCCCATATAAGAAATGATATGGCTTGCCCATATAACAAATGATATGATAAAGCTAAAAATAATAAAGTCAAGTAGAATGTGTATATTCTACTCCCACACAGCTGCTCTTTGTTTTGGGGGTAAACATTATTAAATTCTATAGAAAATGTGTAATGTATATTTGGTTTTTTACCATGAATCAAGATGTCACAGAGAGGTCATAGTCATTGACAAGAATTTTGTCATCTGATTTATACATTTTTCCATTATAAAGAACTGATAGACCCTGAAATGAGGCTACTGCCTTCTTAAATTGTTATAATAACAATGCAGCACGCAGCAATTCAGAGGATACAGAATTTTTTACAATATGCTACTTCTGTCATTCCAATCAAATATAGTCAAGCAAACTTACTTTAAAAAGAATGAATATATACTATCCTCAGTGGAAATGTGGACAAAACTAGTTCTGAGTTGTTAAATGTTTAGGAAAAATCAGTAACATTCTGAATTCCAGTTCATTGATGCAGAATATGACTCAAAGCCAAAATAGAATGTTTGGGACAAATTAGGAAGAAAAATATTTTTCACCTGAGGTTCTTGTTACAACTGAGGTTATCTCTTCCTCATTAAGCAAAACTAATTGAAAAATCTTTTGGTTCAATGTTTAATCTGTCTGAGATTTTACTGTTTTAATATGAAATGCAATGAGAATTATTTGGTCTCTGATTTAAGTCAGTGCATAGGAAACATTTCCGCAAGGGAGATTCTCAAAGAAGGGGTAGAATATTTTGTACCTTAGTTACTAGTTTTCCAGGCAGCGAGTGTGTAGACAAATTATATTTTCCCTGTTGTATATGTGTCTTGGATTTCACTAATGAACATTAGTATTTTTTTGCAGTGTTTTCAAAAAGTCAATTACTCAAAATAAATTGAAAACATTTGTTAAAGCCATAACTAAGATGTTGGATTTTTAAAAACAGTCTGTCGGATTTTAAGAGCCTTTGCCTGTGAGAGTCTACAGACAAGAACAATTTTATGAAATCAGAAAAAAAATTTAAGCATTATATAGTTTGGGTACGCAAAGAAATTTGCTCACTAATGTCAACTTTTGTTGTTGTTTTAGTTATTCATCTCTTGAAGATTTTTTCTTCCTGTTTCATTTTCCCAATTGTAGCAGAAGCTGCCAGATGTGCATTTAAATACTTCCCTCTGCCTTCCACTGTAATAAAAGACACATGGTTATCCAACTATACTACATGTCCTTGCTTCTCCTGCTATTAGATGTAGCTATGTGAGTAAGTGTACTCCGGTGGAATGCAAATAAAATTTGTCCTTAAAAACCTCCCACACTTGCTCCTCTAAGATGATATCCCACCTCCAAGATGGCTCTCAATTATTCTTGGCTCATGGTATTTATGTCCCTGTGTAATGCCCTCCTCCACTGAATATAGCAGACCTGTGTAACAAACAAGATAATGTAGAAATGATGGAATATGATTTCCAAGTCAAGGTCATAAAAGACATTGAGGCTTTCATGTTCTCTTAGATTACTTTTCTGAGGAAAGTCAGCTACTATGTCATGAGGGCATTCCAACAACCTTTATAAAGAGGTCTGAGTGGCAAGAAACCGAAGCCAGCTGCCTATAACCAGGAATAAGCAAGCCACATTGGAAGCAGATACTTGCGCCCTAGTCAAGCCTTCTTATGACTGCACCCACAATACACATCTGATGGCAAACTCATGAATGACCTTGAACCAGAACCATTCAGGTAAGCCAGTTCGAAATTTCTGACCCACAATAACAATGAGATAATAAATATTAATTGTTGTTTTAAGCTGCTAAGTTTGTTATGCAGCAGCAGTTGATTAACACACCCAGTTAGCTGGATGGCAATACTCATGAGAAATCTTGTCTTGAAGATATAGAGCTGTAGTCAGCTCAGGTGCCTGAATGATTGTGTAAAGGAGGGCCCTTCCCTCTAGTTTCTCCATTCCTTACATCAACCTGGACTGTTGAGAGAGAAATAAACTTTAGAGCCATTACATGTTTGGGGTCTCAAATTTATAACAGTATAGTCAACCCTAACAAATATACCAAGTTTATATTCTATTTTTTTCCTTACATCAAGTCTTATTCATCTGTGAGGGTATTATTTCCCTGAACAAGGATTATTATTGGAATAGTTCTTCAAACACTATAAAAATATTATATTGGCCACAAGGCATTATATTAAATATTCAAAATACTTCCCCCACCTGCAAATTCTATTTTATTTGCCTAGGACTCAATGTTTACTAGCAGAGTTGTGGTTGATACTATGGTGCCCTGCCCAAGATCCAGTTTTCTTGGTTAAAGCTTCTATCCCCAAGGTCCTGTGAGTTGTGGCTGGTAATAGCTTATAGCTAGCCCTCTTCTCCAGAGAATTGCCATCAACTGATGGGAGCCAACTCACTAGGAGAGTTATGCTCTCTCCATAGATGACCCACAACAGTGGCCAACTGACATGATGGCATAAAAGTCCAGCTCTTGCTACCAGAGATAACAAATCTATTGTGCTATTTATATTTCTTTTTTTTTTTTTTTTTTTTTGTGGGGGGAGGGGTTTTGCTTTTGTTACCCAGGCTGGAGTGCAATGGCGCGATCTCGGCTCACCGCAACCTCCGTCTCCTGGGTTCAGGCAATTCTCCTGCCTCAGCCTCCTGAGTAGCTGGGATTACAGGCACGCGCCACCATGCCCAGCTGATTTTTTTTTGTATTTTTAGTAGAGATGGGGTTTCACTATGTTGACCAGGATGGTCTCGATCTCTTGACCTTGTGATCCACCCGCCTCGAGCACTCCTTTCTATGGATTGGGCCAGGACTAGACTTTACCTAAGACCGGATCCTTGCTTGGCAGCTCTTTTCTCTTCTCTATCCTGCTGCGCTCCCTCACTTACCAGTTTTTTCTAAGGAGTCCCTCAATAAACCACATGTACCCAAATCCCTGTCTCAGATTCTGCTTCCAGAGAATTTTATCTAAGTCTACCTACTTCCATAAAACTGAACATGAGAGGTGAGATCCTCTTCTCAGGTACTTACATTACTTACATGGCTTAGATCTGTGTCCCTACTCAAATCTCATGTCGAATTGTAATTTCTAATGTTGGAGGTGGGGTCTCGTGGGAGGTGATTGGATCATGGAGGTGGTTTCTCATGGTTTATTAACACCATCTCCCTTGGTGTTGTCATAGTGAGAGTGAGATATTGCAAGATCTGCTTGTTTAAAAGTGTGTAGCACCTCCCCCCCTCACTGTTCCTCCTGCTATGACCATATAAGTGCTGGTTCCCCGTTTGCTTTCTGCCATGATTGTAAATTTCCTGATGCCTCCCTAGAAGCTGCTATGCTTCCTGTACAGCCTGTGGAACCATGAGCCAATTGAACCTCTTTTCTTTATAAATTATCTGGTCTTGGGTATTTATTTATAGCAGTACAAGAATGGACTAACACAATACTGATATATTTTATACACGATAGGAAGAATATATATTCAGTCCAAAACTTTGAAAAAGACTTAAAAACAGAAAATAAAAAATATTAAGAAATCCAAAAGTTGGCCGGGTACGGTGGTTCATGCTTGTAACCCTAGCACTTTGGAAGGCCGAGGTGGGTGGATCACATGAGATCAGGAGTTTTAGACCAGCCTGTCCAACGTGGTGAAACCCCATCTCTACTAAAAAAAATACAAAAATTAGCTGGGCTGGTTGTAGGTACCTATAATCGCAGCTATTCAGGAGGCTAAGACAGGAGAATCACTTGAATTCAGGAGGCAGAGGTTGCAGTGAGCAGAGATCGCACCACTGCACTCCAGCATGGGTGACGAAGTGAGACTTTGTCTCAAAATAAAATCAAAGAAAGAAAGAAATCCAAAAGTTGGCTATCTGGAGTTATCAACAAAATTGATAAATCCTAAAATGGATTAAGAATATAACATAAGAATACGTTTGTTAGCTTACTTCTTTCTGCCTGTGGTCACCACCAAGGGAGAATCACTGAAATCTCTCTTCCCATTGCTGCTGTCATGTCTAAATGAGTCTCCTAAAGAGGTGCAGCAGCTCTTCACTGGAGGTTTGAGCTTTGATATGACTGATAAGACACTGAGGAGCCATTCTGAGCAATGGGAAATGTTCACAGACTCTGTGGTCATGAGATATCCCAACATCAAGTGCTCCAGGGTCTTTGGGTTTGTCACCTATGCCACTGTGGAGGAGGTGGCTGTAGCCATGAATGCAAGGCTGCACAAGGTTAATGGGAGAGCTGTGGAACAAAAAAGGGCTGTCTCAAGAGAACGTTCTCAAAGACCAAGTGCCCACTCAACTGTGAAAAAGGTATTTGTTGCTGGCATTACTGAAGACACTGAAGAACATCACCTGAGAGATTATTTTGAACAGTATGGAAAAATTGAAGTAACTGAAATCATGACTGATTGCGGCAGTGGTAAGAAAAGGAGTTTTGCCATTGTAACCTTTGATGACCATGACTCCATAGATAAAATTGTCATTCAGAAATACCATCCTGTGAATGGCCACAACTGTGAACTTAGGAAAGCCCCAAAACAAGAGATGGCTAGTGCTTCACCCAGCCAAAGAGATTGAAGTGGTTCTGGGAACTTTGGTGGTGGTTATGGAGGTGTTTTGGTGTAAATGACAATTTTGGTTGTGGAGGAAACTTCAGTGGTCATGGTGGCAGCTGTGGTGGTGGTGGATATGGTGGCAGTGGGGATGGCTATAACAGATTTGGTGATGGAAGCAATTTTGAAGGTGGTGGAAGCTACAATGTGTCAGAGACCAGGGGGCCAATGCGAGTATGGAGGCTGTGAAGGCCCCAAGCTCTGGAGGCCCATACCATTTATTGGTACACAACGCAAAGCAAGAATGTGGTAAGGGTGTTGGGGGAGATAAGGGAATGGTGGTCAGGATGGTGAGCTAGGGCGGTTTGGCATTTCTTTTGAGGCATATAGAACAAATTCTATTCTAGATTTATTCATTAAACAAGCTAGAGGGGTCATAGATAGGAGCCAGCAAGTCTGGTCACATTCTTGTGCTTCCAAGTGGCATTCCTGCCTTGAGCACAGGGTATGGCATTCCATAAGCTCTTTCTTTCTGCACCAGATAAGCAGGTCATGCCACTGTCTTCCTTCCAGCAACAATAATTTTGGCAATTACAACAATTAATCTTCAAATTTTGTACCCATGAAGGGAGGAAACTTTGGAAGCAGAAGCACTGGCCCCTGTGGTGTTGGAGGCCAATACTTTGCCAAACCACAAAACTAAAGTGGCTATGGCAATTTCAGTAGGAGCAGTGGCTATGGGAGGGGTAGAAGATTTCAGTTACTACCAGGAAACAAAGCTTAGCAGGAGAAGAGAGCCAGACAAGGGACATGGAAGCTACAGGCTACAATAGATTTGTGAACTCAACCAAGCACATTGGTGGTAGGGCCTAGCTGCTACAAAGAGGACATGTTTTAGATAAATACTCATGTGTATAGGCAAAAAACTTGAGGACTGTATTTGTGACTAATTGTAATAACAGGTTATTTTGGATTTTCTTCTGTGGAAAGTGTACAGCATTCTAACAAAGGGTTTTAATGTAGATTTTTTTTTTGCGTCCATGCTGTTAATTGCTAAATGTAACAGCCTGAACATGACACTAAATGTGTCTTTAAAAAAGAGGATAGAACATAAATCACCAGTATCAGAAATAAAAAGATAGGTTATCACTATAAATTCTACAGGCTTGAAAAGGATAATAAGATACCATTATTAAAATTTTATACTAAAAATATGACCACTTAAATAATATGAATAAGTTCTTTGAAAAATGCAATTTACCAAAATCAATGCAGATTAAACAAAAATATTAATAGTCCCATATCCATTTCTAAAATTAAATTTAATGTCAAAAAATTCCACAGTGTAAATTAGATTCAGATGGTTTCACTGATGAATTCTATCAAAGATTCACTGAAATAATAACACAAATCTTACACAAACTCTTATAAAAAACAGGAGGGAACACTTTCCTACTTGTTTGTGAGGCCACCAAAATTCTGATCCTAAAACCTAACAAAGAAATTATATTAAAAAAATTAGCCTACCAATACTTTCCATGAACAAAGACATAAAAATCTTTGAAAAATTAATGCATTGATTCCAGCAATATATAACAGTAATAATATACAGTGACAAAGAAGGGTATATCACAAAAATGTAAGATTGGTTTAACAAGGCCCACCCTTACAACTTGTACTCAACAGTATAATGAAGGTCCTAGCCGTTACAATAAGAAAAAAAACAGATGGCAGTTGGAAGAATAAAGATTGGAAGGAAGAATTAAAACTATCTCTGTATTCATTTTTTTTTCTTAAAGTATATGTTTTCTCATTTATTTTACCAAGGTTGTGTGTGAAATAAACCAAAATATTTGAAATGAACCTTGAGTGTAGATAAACTTGCCTTCTGAGTTAGCGTTTTTAATTTCACAGGAATTCTGTTGTAAGTTATTCTAATTATGCTTATATAACTAAACCTAGGCAAACTTGTGAGACAAGAGAAATTTATTTTAGTTCCTTCCTATCTTTGGGGGTTTTAAGTATATCTTTCATCCATTCTGATGCCTCCCTATGTCTCCTAATCACATGTTGCCCAGAGATAATATACCATTCCAGTATATTTTTCTTCAATAATATTTCATTCTTCATAATCACTTCTCTTATCTATTTTTATCACAAATATATATATTCTCCCAGTGTTTCAAAGCTCTAGTCACAATTGTCAGAGGAATACATCTCAAAAACTGTTTCAAACCAATATATATACAGTTAAGGTGTTGTCTTTCCCAAGGATATTTGTATTGGAGGAGCATATTTATAAACAATAATAGCAAAATTAAGATACCAGAGAGACTATAGGATAGAGGATACAAACATTTAATATAGTAATTTCACATAATATGGAAGACTAGGCACCTAGTTTGTCCTTCTTTAAGAAAACAATTCTAGATTATGTGTTCCAGAAATCTTAAAAGCATCACTGAACTACAGATGCTTCTTATAATAGGGTTATTTCCTGATACACCCATTGCAAGTTGAAAATATTGTAAGTCAAAAATGCATTTAATACACCTAACCTACCAAACATCATGACTTACCCTAGCCTACCTTAAACAGGTAGGTGCTAAAACAATTACATTAGCCTACAGTTGGGCAAAATCATCTAAGACAAAACCTATTTTATAATAAAGTATTGAATATTTTATGTAATTTATTAACTAATGTACTGAATATGGAAAACAGAATGGTTGTGTGGGTACTCAAATGGTTTCTACTGAATGCACATCACCTTTGCACCACTATAAAGTCAAAAAATTATAAGCAAATCATTGTAAGTTGGGGACTATCAGCACAAGAAAGTAAGGAAGTCTCAGATCAGGGACTAAAAGAGGAAGGGAACTTAGAGAAGTAAGTATAGAATTTTAGCCAGTTTTCTTTCTGAGTCTATTTGCTAACTTGTGTAAATTTGAGCCTTGGTTATCCTGAATCTACAGAGCCCACAGAGCAGGAAACAAAGAAAAGGGCTTTCAAAAGGTGGTAATTTAATAGTTCATCCCCTACTTCAAAAGAGCTGAGGCATCAAAGTTCTAAACAATCAGTAAGCATGACCTGGAAATAAACCCATTTTTTTTCCTGTCCCTGAGGTCTAAAAAGAAAATATCCTTGACCTTTAGCAAAGAGTACAAGAGGTAAAAATAGCTGCTGAAAATTTGGAATCACAAGATGGTCCTCACACAAATTTGTAGCACAAATTCACAGAAACTGTGTTACCAAAAACCGCAAGTTAAGAATTTAAATTAAAGTATCCCCAACTTGTAGTGCTTTCATATGGCTGGTCAGAAACAAATGCAGATTTAATCTATAGCATCCCACCATCATCTTAAGCTTCAAAGACTTCAAAGAAATGAAACTCTAAGTAAAATGAACAACTCACAAGAAAAAACAACAAAATATACAAGTGAACAAAGAGCACCGTGAGCAATAAACAGCAGAAGCAAGAGCTACAAGGAATATGTCTTTATGTATTTCACATACAAGCTATAAATTAAAATGTTTACTATGTTTAAAGAAATAAAGGATAAGCTTCAAAGTATATGCCAGTAATAAAATATTACCAAAAACATACCCAGCAATGGGTATAAGGTAATATATGCTGATCAAATTAGTTTTATCCTAATAATTTGGGATTGGTTTATACTAAAATATTAATGTTATTCACATTAACATGTTAAAGGAGAAATTTATATGATAATCTCAATGTATGCAGAAAAGGTGTTTGATAAAATTTAACATTCATTTATAATAAAAACATCTAGTTAACTAGGAATAGAAGGAGCTTCCTCAGTTTAATTTAAAAATAAATAAAACTAAAGAAAATATTATATCTTGTGGTTACTTATTCAAATAATTTTATCTAAGATTAGGAACAAAACAAGGATTCCCATTTCTATTTAACATTACACTGTATATGCTAGTCACTGAAGAAAATCAAGAAAACATATAAAAAGAATAAGAATTGAAAGAGGGATAATACTATCATTGCTTTCAATTAGTACTGTTAATATGTAGAAAAGATTCAAATTGAACTACCAATAAATTTTTTAAAGGAATGTAAATTTAACAAAAGTTGCCAGATACCAACTCAACAGAAAACTCTATTTCATTTCTATATTGCTGCTAGAGTTAGCAAATAACACACATACTCTTTCTCTCTTTCTTTTTCTCTTTCTCTCTCCCTCTCTCTCTCTATATATATATGTATATTCCATCCACATGTATTTTTAATGGAAAATACCTCTGTATTAATCTAACAAAATATACAAAACTTTTAAGAAACAGTAGAACCAGAAGATCCTATATTATAAAGATATCTGTTGTCCCCAATTTGATATACAGAATCCATGAAATCTTAATTAAACCTCTGAAATATTTTGTTTAAAAAGTCAAAAGTGACAATCATATTCTAAAATGTATATGGAAGAACAAAGAACCAAAAGTAGCCAAAACACTCTTGGAGAGGATGAATGAGTTTGGGGGGTTGCCTATCAGCTCCCAAGACACTAATAAAGCTACAGTTCTTAAGATCGTGTAGTATTAGTGCTGGATAGACAAATAGATCCATGGAACAGAATTAGAGCCCAGAAATAGACACTGGCATGTATAGATACTAGATATATGACAGAAGTGGTATTGCAGATGACAGAAAAATGATGAATTTTTCAATAAATGGTACTGGATAAAGATATCTGTATGTGAAAAAATCATATTGAGTCTCTACCTCACACTATAAACAAAATAAAATTCTGGGAGAATCGAAGATCTGAAAGTAAGAGGCAAAACCAGTCTTTAAAAGATAATATAGGAAAATATCCTCATGGCAACAGAGTACAGAAGGATTTCTTGAACAAAGTACAGAAAAAAAAACAGGTGAAAAGTTTGAAAATTTAAACTAAATTAAAATTTAAAATTTTAGATAAGTTTCAGATCATCAAAAGATAACATTAAAAAGTGCAAAGACAGGCTGGGCGCGGTGGCTCAAGCCTGTAATCCCAG